GCCTTTTGGCATCAATGAGTGCCCCTGCTCTTCGAGAATCTATATAACGAACGCAGTCGCGAGCGCCCCCTGCTTCAAAACTTCCAGCGGCTACAAAACATGCGGACGCTGGGCGCTTCTCGCTTTTTTTCTACCCCGCGTGGTCATCGCCAAATTTCAAGTCTTCAAACTTCAACTCGTCTGGATTTTGCACGCTTCAAGCTTACATGGTTCCAAACTTGCAAACGGGCAATATTCTTTGTGGATGGACCAGATTTTAACGCTAGACACGTTAAGCATATACTGCAATTTCGGAAACATGGCACTTGGGCCGTTATGACAACGTGTAAGTTCGAACTCTCGCATCCGGCAAACATTGTAAATTCGAAGATTTGGACCCAACTTCGATAGCTTCAGAGCGTGAGCTGCCGAACGTTCAAGCTTTCAAACTCGGACGCGCGCACGCATGAAACTTTTAAAACTGTCAAATTTTGAAGCGCCAAGAAACTACATGAGCAATGCCCTCGCAGGGAATGGGGGGCTGACTGGCCCCCAAGTCCTTGTCCCACACAGGAGGCCAGGGGCCCGGGCGGAGGGCTCGCCGACGGTCTCGACGAATAGTCGACGCGAACGTGTGGACGGCCGCGTCTTGCGGGACACCTCGCTTGCAATGTTGAGGCGCGCGCGCTTCTCGCTCGCGTAATCTGCCCTTCCCGCGCCAACCCCATCGACTTCAAAATCGTCCGTTGGGCGCCGGGGCCATGATCTTGTGACTTCCCCCCAGCCGCGGGTCGGCCTGGGGGTAATCTTTTGAATTCCCCCCAGCCGCGGGTCGGCCTGGGGGCGATCTTTTGAATCCCCCCCAGCCGCGGGTCGGCCTGGGGGCAATCTTTTGAATCCCCCAGCCGCAGGTCGGCCTGGGGGCAATCTTGTGACCCCCCCTCAGCCGCGGGTCGGCCTGGGGGTAATCTTTTGAATCCCCCCAGCCGCGGGTCGACCTGGGGGTGAGCTTTTGATCCCCCCCCAGCCGCGGGTCGGCCTGGGGGTAATATTTTGAATTCCCCCCAGCCGCGGGTCGGCCTGGTGGCATCTTTTGGATTCGTCCCAGCCGCGGGTCGGCCTGGGGGTAATCTTTTGAATTCCCTCCAGCCGCGGGTCGGCCTGGGGGCAACCTCTTGAATTCCCCCCAGCCGCGGGTCGGCCCAGGGGTCATCCTTTGAATTCCCCCCAGCCGCGGGTCGGCCTGGGGATAATTTTTTGAATTCCCCCCAGCCGCGGTCGGCCAGGGGGCAATCTTTTGAATTCCCCCCAGCCGCGGGGGGGGCAATCTTTTGAATTCCCCCCAGCCGCGGGTCGGCCTGGGGGTAATCTTTTGAATTCCCCCCAGCCGCGGGTCGGCCTGGGGGTGATCTTTTGAATTCCCCCCAACCGCGGGTCGGCCTGGGGGCAATCTTTTGAACCCCCCCCAGCCGCGGTTCGGCCTGTGGGCGATCTGTTGAATTCCCCCAAGCCGCGGGTCGGCCCGGGGGCAATATTTGAAATCCCCCCCAGCCGCGGGTCGGCCCGGGAGCAATCTTTTGAACTCCCCCCAGCCGCGGGCTGGCCCAGGGGTAATCTGTTGAAGTGCCCCCAGCCGCGGGTCGGCCTGGGGGTAATCTGTTGGATTCCCCCCAGCCGTGGGTCGGCCTGGGGGTCATCTTTTGCGTTCCCCCCAGCCGCGGGTCGGCCTGGGGGTAATCTTTTGAATTCCCCCCAGCCGCGGGTCGGCCTGGGGGTAATCTTTTAAATTCCTCCCAGCCGCGGGTCGGCCTGGGGGTAATCTTTTGAATTCCCCCCAGCCGCGGGTCGGCCTGGGGGCAATCTTTTGAATTCCCCCCAGCCGCGGGTCGGCCTGGGAGTAATCTTTTGGATTCCCCCCAGCCGCGGGTCGGCCTGGGGGTAATCTTTTGAATTCCCCTCCAGCCGCGGGTCGGCCTGGGGGTGATCTTTTGATTTCTCCCCAGCCGCGGGTCGGCCTGGGGGTAATCTTTTGAATGCCCCCCAGACGCGGGTCGGCCTGGGGGTAATCTTTTGAATTCCCCCAGCCGCAGGCCGGCCTGGGGGCAATATTTTGAATCCCCCCCCCTCCAGCCGCGGGTCGGCCTGGGGGCAATCTTTTGAACCCCCCCAGCCGCAGGTCGGCCTGGGGGTAATCTTGTGACCCCCCCCCTAGCCGCGGGTCGGCCTGGGGGTAATCTTTTGAATTCCCCGCAGCCGCGGGTCGGCCCGGGGGTAATCTTTTGAATTCCCCCCAGCCGCGGGTCGGCCTGGAGACAATCTTGTGAATTCCCCCCACCCGCGCGTCGGCCTGGGGGCAATCTTTTGAATTCCCCCCAGCCGCGGGTCGGCCCGGAGACAATCTTTTGAATCCCCCCCAGCCGCGGGTCGGCCTGGGGGCAATCTTTTGAATTCCCCCCAGCCGCGGGTCGGCCCGGGGGCAATCTTTTGAATCCCCCCCAGCCGCGGGTCGGCCTGGGGGTAATCTTTTGAATTCCCCCCAGCCGCGGGTCGGCCCGGGGGTAATCTTTTGAATCTCCCCAGCCGCGGGTCGGCCTGGGGGCAATCTTTGAAATTCCTCTCAGCCGCGGGTCGGCCCGGGGGCAATCTTTTGAATTCCCCCCAGCCGCGGGTCGGCCCGGGGACAATCTTTTGAATTTCCCCCAGCCGCGGGTCGGCCCGGGGGTAATCTTTTGAAGTCTCCCCAGCCGCGGGTTGGCATGGTGGGAAATCCTTTGAATTCTCCCCAGCCGCGGTTCGGCCTGGGGGCAATACTCTGAATTCCCCCCAGCCGCGGGTCGGCCCGGGGAACCCGCGGCTGTGGGGGAATTCAGAAGATTACCCCCAGGCCGACCCGCGGCTGGGGGGAATTCAAAAGATTACCTCCAGGCCGACCCGCGGCTGGGGGGAATCCAACAGATTACCCCCAGGCCGACTCGCGGCTGGGGGGAATTCGTAAGATTGCCCCCAGGCCGACCCGCGGCTGGGGGAATTCAAAAGATTACCCCCAGGCCGACCCGCGGCTGGGGGAATGCAAAAGATTACCCAGGCCGACCCGCGGCTGGGGGAATTCAAAAGATTGCCCCCAGGCCGACCCGCGGCTGGGGGGAATTCAAAAGATTACCCCCAGGCCGACCCGCGGCTGGGGGGAATTCAAAAGATTGCCCCCAGGCCGACCCGCAGCTGGGGGGAATTCAAAAGATTGCCCCCAGGCCGACCCGCGGCTGGGGGGAATTCAAAAGATTACCCCCAGGCCGACCCGCGGCTGGGGGGAATTCAAAAGATTACCTCCAGGCCGACCCGCGGCTGGGGGGAATCCAACAGATTACCCCCAGGCCGACTCGCGGCTGGGGGGAATTCAAAACTGGTCAAGCCACTACCGCCTGATATACGCATGAGTATGCGCACACATAGTTACACTGACCATTTGCATATACATGAACATATCCATACAAACGTATACATAGTTGTACTATGCATTCATAGACGCATGTGTGTGCGCATGTACGCACGCTCGCGCTCCGCTAGCGTGCGAATTCCAAAGGGCCAAGGTCCATGGCGCGCAGCGCCAATGCAGTCTTGTGTATGCATATACATATATACATATATGCATATATACACATATATATATACAAACATATATACATATGTATGTATGTATGTATGTATGTTTGTTTGTATGTATGTATGTATGTGTGTATGTATGTATACATATATATATACACATATATATATATATATATATATGTATATGTATGAAAGAACGTGTTCTACAGCTGCTGGCGGAACACCGGGGGGGTCACTACCGGTTCGAACGGGGGGGGGGGGGGTTCACTACCGGTTCCAACCCCTCCCGCCCCCCTTCCCCAATTCATCATGAAAAAGGGGGGGGTCACCACCGGTTCGAACCCCCCCCCCTCGAAAACCGGGGGGGGTCACTTCCGGTTCGAACCCCCCCCCCCCCTCGAAAACCGGGAGGGGGTGCGGACAGTGGTGGGGACGGTGGTGGTGGGGACAGTGGTGAGGGGACAGCGGGACAATGGTGGGGGACAGTGGGACAATGGTGGGGACGGTAATAGTAGGGACAGTGGTGAGGATAATGGTGGGAACAGCGGGGACAGTGGGGACAGTGGACAGTGGTGGGAAGGGTGGTGGTGGGGACAGTGGTGTGGGGACAGTGGGAATGAGGTGGAAACAGTGGGACAGTGGAGGGTACACTGGTGGTGGGGACAGTGGTGAAGGTGGTGGCGAGGACGGCGGTGGGACAATGGGACAGAGGTACAGTGGGGACAGTGGTGGGGACAGTGGGGACATTGGTGGGAACAGTGGGACAGCTCAGTGGGACAGCGGAGGAGTCAGTTGGACAGTGGGGACAGTGGGGATAGTCGGGCATTGGTTGGGGCCGTGGAGAAAGTGGGGAGAGTGGAACCGTGGTGGGAACAGTGGTGGGGACAGTGCGACAGTGGTGGGGGCACTAGTGGGGACAGTAGGGACGGTGGTGGAACCAGTGGGGACAGTGGTGGTGAAGACAGTGATGCTGGGAACAACAATGGGGGATGTGGTGCGGACGGTGGTATGGACCCGGAGTCGTTTGCTGGCGGTGAGTGGAGGGGGTGGGGAATGGTTCGAACCGGTAGTGACCCCCTCTCCGGTTTTCGAGGGGGGGGTTCGAACCAGTAGTGACCCCGCGCGGTTTTCGAGGGGGGGGGGGGAGGGGGGGAGGGGTTAGGGGAGGGGGGGGTTGCCGGGGGAGGCGAGGGGGGGGCCGGGGTTCAGGAGGGGGGGGGGGGGATTTTGGGGAGGGGGGAGCGGGGACCCCCGAGTTCCGGAGCAAGAGGGGGGCAATTTTCCTCAGTAAAGCGGCGGTGGATAACGCTCTCTCTCTCTCTCTCTCTCTCTCTCTCTCTCCTATATATATAGGAGGAGCAGGAGGAGGAGGAGCAGGAGGAGGACACTGAGGTGGTCAGTTGACGTCGCCCCGCAGCCGTCGCTCCAGCGCCTCCTCCCCATCGCGGTCGCGCAACGCGAAGGCCTCCTCGTCCGGCTGCGTTCCCGCGTCTGGCGTTCTCAAGCAGGCGTCCAGGTAGCCGGAGCGCACCACCGGGACTCCGGCGCACAAGGCGCACATCATCTTGGCGGTTCTCCGGAAGCTGTCCGACACCAGGTGGGTGACCTCGACGGACCACCCGTCGGCGAAGCCCGCGCCGAGCCTCTGCCAGAGCAGCTTGCGCGTCGCCGCGCTCACCCTGACGCCAGAGGCCAGGAAGCACGGCGGCTGGCGGCCGGCGGCCGCGCCGCGCGACGCCAGGAGCCGCCGCTTGCCGCTGATACGCCGCCTCTTCTCGGGCGGCGACAACCGCTCCGCCGTGGCCGCCGTGGCCGCCGCGGCGTCCTCCGCCGCGCCCGCCACGGCGCTCTCGCCCGCGGCGCTCTCGCCCGCGGCGCTCTCGCCCGCGGCGCCCTCGCTCACGGGGCCGTCCGCTGGTACGGGGCTCTCCGCGGAGCCCTCCGCCGCCACGGCGGCCGCGGAGCCCTCGGGCGTCGGCGCGGACGCCGCCTCCGCGCAGAGCTCTCCCTGCCCGAGGGGCCGCCGCACCTCGCAGAGCCAGGCTGGCCAGCGCTGCCCCCCCAGCGGGCCGCACCGCGGCGCGAGGCTTGCGCACATGTCCCGGAAGCGCCGCGCGAGGCTCCCCTCGATGCCCTCTCCTCGGGGAAGTCGCCTGGCGATCCTGGCCAAGCCCGTCCTGGGCCCAGGCTCGGCGTACTCTGGCGTCGCAGCGTGCTCATGACAAGCGACTTGGCCATGTTTCGGGCCCCAAGGCCCTCACGGGCCGATCCGGCTCGGAAAATGCAGCAGGGGGAGGGGCTTCAGGGCTCGGCTCGGAATCTCCCCAGACATCCAGCTGCCCAAATGCTTACAATTCGATGCGTGGGCCTCGGAAATCTGGACCACTCGGCTTTAATCCCGAGTCGTTCTTTGACGGTCCCGGCGATGGCCTCCGGAGGCCGAAAACGGCAACAAAAACCGCCCGGTCCAATTTTTCTGGAGCGTCGGACCTCTGGGTTCCACGATGTTGATGTTTCTTGCGACGCCGGATCTCAGGCCGGTAGATGCCCTCCTGTCTTGACGCTCCCCGCCCCCTCTGGAGCGCCACGCGCGCGGGGGCCCGCCGCGCACGCCGGGTTGGGGGTGGGGCCGGGCCCGTGCGAGCGGGCAGTCGACCGGTGCTCGGGCGAGGATGCTGCCCGTGGAGGGCCAGCGCGGACAGCTGGGCACAGACAGAGCGGCGAGCAGGTCCGTATGCGGGAGGAGGAGGAGGAGGAGGAGGAGGAGGAGGAGGAGGGGGAGGAGGAGGGGGAGGAGGAGGAGGGGGAGGAGGAGGGGGAGGAGGAGGAGGAGGAGGGACCCCTTTGCCAGGGTGGCCTCCGGCGCGCGGCCCTCGCAATGTGGACTCCGGGGCGCGATCCCACGGAGGCGCGGTCGTACGGATACGTTCCGCGCGGGGCATGCGCGAAAAAGCACCCCGTCGAATCGGGTCGCATGGCCACGGGGTCGGGGTCGAGAAGGATCGGCCGCGCCAAGATGTACAACAGCGCTGTGGTGCAAGCCTCAGGCCGTACCGAATTATCGGACTATCGGAACCGACTCGGATCGGGCCAGCCAGAATCGAGATCGAGTCGGATCGAAATGGACGCAGGAAGTTGGAGGCAGGTGAGGAGGGGAAGCGCGCAGTGATTCTCGTCGCTCTCCTGCCAGCTGTGGCGCCGCGCGGGGAGGGGGCGTGGGTGGGGGGGAGGGGGAATGGGAGCAGGGGAAGGGCAGATATTTCTCCCTCGCGCACCTGCTCCGTTCCCCATGCCCACCCCCGTCCCACCGCTCCACTCCCTCACTCGACCACCCATCAACTCAAGACCTCTTGGGACAAATCCTGTATACACTCGGCAAACGTGTCCAAATAATTGCATTCACATCCGCACGTTTAGTGCTCAGGAGCGTCATACCTAGATACGACAATACCATCCCATGCGGCGGCACGAATCCCGTAACCAACTGCTCCCCATATTAATCCCATGGGGATAATAAAGTTCGGGCTCCAGGCGGGATAATAAACGTTTTCCTGGAGATCTCAGCAACATGATGAAGATGATGACTATGATGATGATCTGGATGATCCTGAAAGCTTGTTACATATACATTATATATATATATATATATATACATGGCCGCCCCCTTCAAAAATCATACATACTTCATCTTATCCAGGTCTGATTCGTCATCGTTACCGTCTTTTCTCTGTCTCTCTCTCTCTCTCTCTCTCCCGCCGCCCCTTTCACGTTGTGTTTCTCTCTCTCTCTCTCTCTCTGTTTGTCTTTGCGTCTGTCAGAATGACACTCCAGCCTCCCCAGCCTGCACAAGCTTGTCCCAAAGACGACCACAATGAAAAACGCTGTAATTTCCAGCTCTTCCAACTTTTCCAGCTTTTCCCAGAGACTACGCCACTGAACAGCGTTGTGTTTCCAACTTTTCCAGCTTTTCCTAGAGACTACCCGAATGAAAAACTATGTGCTTCCAGCTTTTCCAACTTTTCCCAAATACTACCCACAGAAAAGTGTTTTGCTTTCCAGATGTTCAAACTTTTTCCAGCTGTTCCCAAAGAATACCCCAATGAACAACGCTGTGTATTCCAACTTTTCCAACTGTTCCCCAAGACTCTCCCAATGAAAAAAGCTATGCTTTCCAGCTTTTCCAGCTTGTCCCAGAGATTACCCCATTGAAAAACGTTGTGCTTTCCAACTGTTCCGGCTTTTCTAAAATTTCCAAACGACGATCCCAATGAAACACGGTGTGATTTCCAACTTTTCCAGCTTTCCCCAGAGACTACCCTGGAGCACCCTGCCGCGTAGTCTTTGGGAAAAGCTGGAAAAGCTGGAAAACATGACGTTTTTTCAACAGGATAATCTTTGGGGAAAGGTAGAACAGGTAGGAAACAAAGCTTGTCCACTGGGATGATACTCAAGAACATTTGGAACAACTGGAAAACATTGGGTCTCTCACTGGGCTCATCTTTTGAAACAGTTGAAAAGCTTGAGAAACTATACAAGCACAGCGTTTTTCACTGGACAAGTCTCTGGGGAAAGCCGGACAAGTTGGAACACACACAGCGTTTTTCAGCGGGGTCAGCTCGAGGAAAACTTGGAAAAGCTGAAAATCACAGCGCTTTTCATTTGGGTAGTCTCTGGGAAAAGCTGGTATAGCTGGGGGAAATGAAAAACACAGCGCGTCACTCTGACACAGGCAATGTAATCTCAGGGAAAAACTGGAAAAAAGCTAGAAAACACTACGTTTTTCATTTCAATAATCTTTGGGACAAGCTGGAAAAGCTGGAACACACAGCGCTTTTCACTTGGATAGTCTTTGGGGCAAGCTGGAAACGTTGGAACACGCAGCGCTCTTTCACTAGGAGGGATCAGCTGGAAAAGCTGGGACGCAAAACGATTTTCACTCGTGTGATCTTTGGGGAAGCTGGAAAAGTTGGAAAAGCTGGAAAACAGATCGTTGTTCACAATCTCTGGGAAAAACTGGAAAAGCTTGAAGACGCACAATTTTTCAACGGGGTGTGGGAAAAGCTAGAAAAATCTGGAAAGCGCAGCGTTTCTCATCGGGGTAGTCTCTGGGAAAACCCGGCGAGACTGGGAAAGCTAGAAAACACAGCGCTTCATTCCGACAGAGGCAAAGACAGAGAGAGAGAGAAAGAGTGAGAGAAAGGAAAAAAATTGAAAACAAACAAGAATAATGACAATGTGAGAGGGAGAGAGAGAGAGGGAGAGAAAAAGATAATCAGACCAATGTGGGAAAGACAACGGGGGCGGGGGGCAGCTATATACACATACATACACATACATCTAGATACACACACACACATATACGATTATATTACATCGACATATCCATATACATACATACATACATACATACATACATACATACACATTTACATTTATGTATACATACAGCGGAAATCCACGGGGGTCCTTCGGACATCTCGAAGAATCCGATGGACATGCATGAAACTCCTTATCATATCCATAGGACCCCTTAGGACATCCATAAAAATCCGGAGGACATTTCTGGGAATCCCATCGCAAAAACATGGGGGGCCCTAAAACAATCTGCTGGGATCTCAGAGATTCCATAGAACCCCTCAGACAGTCAATGAGATTCCTTCGGACATCCATTGGACACCTTCTGACATTCATACGATGCCAATGACAATCTATATGGGGCCCGACAGATGCCCATGGAAACCCGGAAGACATCTACCGGAAACCTTGGGACATCCATCGGGTTCCGTGGGGCCCCCATAGGAAGCCGAATGGAATCCATTGGAACCCTGCGGCAATCCATAAAACCCCTTCGGATATTCCTTGGAGTTCTAAAAAGATCAATTTAAAACCGGAATACAAATACGACCCCTGAGGACATCCGTAGGCATACAAGTGGCATATTTAGGATTCTTTGCGAAATCCATCGGGATCACAAGGAGGCCGACTCGTTGCAGATCCGTAGGAAACCTTATGATAACCATCGGATGCCTAAGAGAATCAATCGATTGGGTCCGTTACGAAAGCAGCAGTATGCCTGAGGACATGTCTGGGATTCTGGTGGACATCCATTGGATGTCTTAGCCATAGGGTTCCTATAGCAACCCATGGGATTCCTCAGACAATCCACGGGACCCCTAAGGAAAGCCACAGGCTTCTTCCGGCAGCAATCGAATTCCGATGGCAATCGATACGAACAATTATATATATATATATATAGGGAAAAGGGGGAAAAACGGCGCTTCCTTCGGAAATCAATAGGATGCCTGAAGACATCCATTGGATTCCTTTCGGAAAATCCATCGGAGCCCTGAAGACATCCATTCTGGTCCTAAGGCAATCCGTTGCGTTCCCATGGAAAACCACAGAAATGAAGCCCAAGGAAATCCATGAGACCCCTTTAGGATACGCACAGAAATCCCAAGGGGATCAAAAGGATCAAATCCATGAGATCACTTGGGGAACCCATCGGGTTCCTCCGGGGGCCCATAAGATTTCAGTGGACATCTAACGGGGGTGTTGAAAATCATGAAAACGATGGTGGTGATGACGATGACGAAGACGATGATTCCTCGTTATTGCGGCTCTTGGTGATCGGCAAGAATGGGTCTCTACAGCTTGCCTGAGAGCTCGAGGTCTACGGGCGCTCTCGCCCAGAAACTTCTCTCTCGCGCGTGCTCGGGCCACTCGCCCACGCGGGCTCGGCACTGGAGGCGCTGGCGCACGCTGGCGCTGCAGCCTGCGCCTCTCGAGGCTGCCGCACTTGGGCGCTGTCGGGTCACTCGGCGGCCCAACCTCGCCCTGGCCCCCGGCCCCGGCCCCGGCCGCGGCTGAGCGGTCGTCGCTCGCCTCCTGCAGCTTCTGGATCCACTCGCCACCTAAGGCGCGCACCTGGGCGGCGCCGATGGGCGGCTGGCGGCCCTCGCCCCGGACCTCGCGCATGGCGCGGTCGATTGACCTTGCCGCCCATATGAAGGCCATTGTTGTCACCAAGACCCGCCGTAAATGTAAATATTTCCCGCGTCGTCGGCCCTGGCTTCGCGCCGCGCGCAGCTCCGTGCGTCGGCGGGCATCGAGCGCCCCGAAATTCCATTGCCGATGGGAATCCAATAAAACCAATGAAACCCCTTAGGGGATCCATCGCATTCCTTTGAACATCATCCCGTTGAGTTCCTCTGGACATCCAATGGTCTCCTTAGGGCAGATACGGAAATCCTCCGGAAATTGATGGGAATCCTTCGGGGACCCATGGGA